ACATACATATGTATATATATATAGATACATTATTTGTAGATGCATATCTACATATACATATATTTGTATGTATGTGTATATGTTTTTGCGCATATCTGTACATACATACCTGCATACGTGCATACATACATACACACATACATAAATAAATGCATACATACGTACGTATGTGTCGCAGCACATCACGTTCGATTACACTACGCTACATTACACTGCATTGCGTTGCACTACACTACTTTACACTACATTACACTACATTACACACAACATACAACACTACAGTACCAACACTTCAGTGCACTACAAGTACATTACACTACATTGCACCACCTTACACAGCGCTAGTCTCCGTTACACTACTACGGTACACTACATTGCATTACATTACGGCTCAGTACACTGCAGTATGCTACTGTACAGCACAGCAAAGTAGAGCCCACTACACTACATTACAACGCATACATACATACACACATAACACATAAATACGTATATATATATATATATATATGTGTGTGTGTATATATATATATATTCATACACATGCACCCACGCAAGTATGTGTGTATTACCATGTCTGCTTGTGTGCATGTATGCATGTATTCTGTATGTATGTAGGTATGTATGCATACACAATTAAATAGGTTCAGATACACAAGTAAACGACTCAACGAATACAGTACATGTAATGTCATATAAAAGCACTTCAATACATGAGCGCATTTAGAAGCAGCGACAGAACTAACCAACTTAACGTATAATAAGTCAGCAAACCATTAAGTACATACACAAACACATTAACAAACAAAAACAAACACACGTACGCACACCAACAGATAAATACTGAACAACCCACACGACCAAACACAAAAGACACTACTTAACTTTCAAACACACAACAGAAAAGAAATAACCACACAAACAAAAAAAACAACCAACCAACCAGCCATCCTTCCAACCAAGCATCCAAGCATTGAACCATCCAAGCATCCAGCCATCCAGCCGTCCCGCCATCTTTTTTAATCAATTATCCCACCATCCAACCAACCACCCAATTACTCAACCATCCAACCACGCAATCAAGCAATCAACCCACCGACCAACCACCCAACCAGCCAGCAAGCCAGCCAACCAAGCTAATGCACTGACTAACTAAGTAACTTCAAACGAAAACACACACAAACAAAAGAACCAATAAGCCAAACAACAATCAATGCAAGCACCACACCCAAACAGTTTAAGTTGGAAAAGCAGATATGTACATACAGATGTGTAACTAACGAATCTTACAGGTTCGACATGCAGTTTGCACGGTATGTAGGTGTACCGCGAGATAGATTTGCAGGATCATGGGGTTGTTAAGTTTATGGGTAGGCGCATTGCGTGTTGCAGGGTTCAGGGCAGAATCAGGGGACTTAGTATTTCAGGCTATATATCATGCAAGCTGAAAACCGGATAACTATGAGTATCGTTACCGTATTGAAAACCCTGATTTACCCTTTAAGTCTTTATGTAGTGGCGCTTGCATGAACATTAACTTTCACTATTGCATGATCATGAGCATTACCATCTCAGGCTGGCACCTAGACCCTCGAGCATCGAATGGTAGGACACATTTGCTTCCTGCCAGATTGGCAAGTTTTGGCTGCCCTGATGGTGGCCTCGGTGCGGCCGTCGAGGCTTAGGTGCCCATGTTAAGGCTTTCAAGGTGTCGGGGCGAAGGAATACAGGAGGACTTTCGCCTTTCCCACCGAGTGGTCGAGACTGTTGTGAAACGTTTGGAGATCAAAGCTGACTCGCTGGAGCGAGTAGTAAGTAGCTTCTCCGTTAGGGAAATTTACAGCATAATAACACGGACAGGGTGCATTGCAACAGCCCTCTATGGAACTGTCCCCACAATCATCAATCCACGAGAATAGCACTGAACGCAAAACTCCCAAGTATCATAAAGCCTAAGCTAACAGGTCATGCGGCTCTCTGTTGCCACGGCCTTCTCGTTCTCCTGCTGCGTGCACAAGAGGGGCTTATCAGTTCTCCGCAACTTCTCTACAAGGGATCTCTAGAGCGCCGTACAGATCGTGTTGGCATCTGCCCAGAACGGTTTAAAGTTTCGGGCTTAGGGTTGCCAGTGCAGGGTCGATAGCAGAAAGTTGATGTGCACGGTCTCCGGTCTCGGGATCGTCACTTTGGGACTTAGGGGCCGGAATCCTCTGTTCGAAAACCCCAAAGCTGCTTTGAAGTGCACTTGGTGGGCACGTCCCACACCTCATACTGCCGTTTTGGCAACATACGAAAAGCGACGAGCCATGGGGAAATTGGAGCCACCAATCTCTGGAATTGGTATGAAATTTTCGCCGAAGCCGCCACCACCGCCCACCACCACATCAACACCGCCACCACCATGACCACCATGACTGTTATGAGTACTGTACCCTAAGCCCTTAACTCCAAACCCTAAGCCCTAAACCCTGAATCCCGAAACCGGAACCCTTCCTTGTCCAGATCCGGAGCGCCGTTGTCCGTGCTGCCGGTGAACACACGGTCCTCCGGAAGAAGATTGTCTTGTTGGAGGGGGCCGGGGTGGGGGGTTAGGCCTATACAGATATGCAACCTGTATATGTATATCTATATTATATCTATACATCTGTCTACCTATGTCTATAGAACCATACATACATACATACATACATACATACATACATACAGACAGACAGACAGACAGACAGACAGACAGACAGACATACATACATATACACACATAAATATGAATAAATGCATAAATAGATAAATAAATAAATATATATATATATATACATATGTATGTACGTGTATATATATACACATGCATATACAAAATTATGCATTTATTTACGCAGTCGTACAAAGATAACTATATATACACACTACTTTATTTATTTGCATCTGTATATACATATATGTAGTATATATCTATAAGTATGTTATATATACATCATACTTAGCTATTTGTTTATAGATGGATAGACGGATAGATGTACATCCATACATACATACATACATACATACATACATACATACATACGCACGCACGCACGTACGTACATACATACAGACTGCGGCAGATGCAGCCCGAAAGATCTTTAATTCAATCCTAAACTTATAATCTCTGCATTCTGCCCCGGGTCTAGGGCCTAGCGTTATTATTTAGGGTGTAGGGCTAAGGGTTTAGATGGCTTGTGGGTTTCCTGCAGTCATGAGCCACACCGTGTGAGCATTCAATTAGGGGCCGCAATCTGTAGATAATCTGTAGAATACGGCTTTCGGTGTTCTAAGTCTATGGTAGCATAGTGATAAAAAGGCAAGAGGGTATAGTACTACTGATCTGAACATTTCGCATCACTCCAGCTGTTTTGGCCCAACTGCGATTGTTGTCGGCTTCTGTCGAATCGCACGGCGCACACTCAGCGATGTGCGACCGTGCGTTCGCTGCGCTGGGTCCGCCGGGGTTGGAGCGAAACGCAAGCGACTGCGAAAGCCAGACCTCATGATCCCTGCTTGCAGTCATACTCTGGCCTCGGCAACTCCCTGGCTGGCTGCAAGAGCAAAACTAGCTTCGTCTTGTAGCTTCATACTTCTGTAGCAGGGTTTGGACCAAGCCTGAAGGACAAAATACAAATAAGAAGCAGGCCTACGCCCAAACCGTGTTGGACAGGACGCCAAATGACATGCAAGAGCTTGTATGTCCCTTGTGCTCACAAGCTCTTGCATGTCATTTGGCTTCCTCCCGAGTGTCCAGTGTCCAATATTGCCTGAGAACTCGCACTTCCTGGACAGCCAACTTGGGATCTTGTTCGGCGCGTTGCAAGGTTTAAAACGCAGTGCAGCTTACAACCTTTTAGCATCTTACACCGTCCTATGCCCTACATCAAACCGTCGCTCCTATACCACATCGTCACACTGATATCCTGACCAAGCGAATGGAACTACCGGCGTCCATCTTAACTACTGAATCAGAAAGCAGAAGCCTAAAATACTTCGAACCTCTTGATCCTTCCCTCAGACCACTTCTAACTTCGATGCGTCTCAATAGGGTACGGGCACGTTCTTATACCATGCCAAGTGGGGAACTTGCGTTTAAGCCATTGGACGCAGGGCTGTGAGCCGCATTTCCACATCCATGGCGTGGCGGCGTAGCTCCTCTGCAGCCACCGTCTCGGCAGGCTTGAGGCCAACTGGAGCCCAGCGCTATGAATCATTCAACCCTTGCGTTAGATCGGTGATTCGGGCGGAGACTCATTCAGGGAGACACAATCCCCACAAACCCCCACCATCCTCAACGACCCTCCATGGTTCCTGAATTCCACCTAAACCCTAAACCCATAAACCCCTACACCCTGAAGCCCCATAAACCCTAAACCCTACAGAACCCTTTAAAGGAACCCTTAAACCCCATCAACCCTACAGAACCCCCTTTAAAGGAACCCTACAGAACCTTTTAAAGGAACCCTACAGAACCCTTAAAGGAACCCTACAGAACCCTTTCAGGAACCCTTAAGCTTACTTTCGGCAATGAGCTAGGAAAATAAAAGGTTAAACTTTCAGAGTACTACCAAGTCATAAGAACCCAAAAAGTTTAAAGGTTGGGTATTGGGGAACTAAGTAAAGCCCCATAAAGAACCCTAGAAGCCCTACAGAACCCTTTAAAGGAACCCTTAAAGGACCCCATAAAGCCCCATAAACCCTACAGAACCCTACAGAACCCTTTAAAGGAACACTACAGAACCCTTTGAAGGAACCCTTTTAAAGGAACCCTACAGAACCCTTTAAACCCTACAGAACCCTTTAAAGGAACCCTGCAGAACCCTCTAAAGGAACCCTACAGAACCCTTTAAAGGAACCCTTTAAAGGAACCCTACAGAACCCTTTAAAGGAACCCTTAAAGGACCCCGAAAAGCCCCGCCGCTGGGTGCCTTGAACTCCGGCTCCTCGCGGTCGGCTCCGAGGTCGCGGGAGCAGGCGCTCGGCGAGGAGGGCAAAGGGCCCAGCAGTTGGCTGTCCTGTTTTTGGGGGTTTTGTAGGGGTTATAAGGGTTTTAGGGGCCTTTTAGGGGTTTTAAGGGTTTTTTAGGGTTTTAGGGGTTTTGGGGTTTTAGGGGTTTAGGGTTTAGGGGTTTTAGGGGTTTTAGGGGGCTTTAAGGGTTTAGGAGTTCAAGGGTTTAGGGTTTAGGGGTTTAGGGGTTTTAGGGGTTTTAGGGGTTTAGGGCTTTATTCTTGCGTTCAGATTCATATGGGGCTCCGAAAGGAGTAGACTAGGGTTGCTTTACTAGGCTCAAAGGGTTCAAGATTCAGGGCTCAGGGTCTAGGTGTTTCAAACCAGTACGGGGGCCTTTACCGATCAGAGTAGGGTTCCTTTAAAGGGGTTGTAGAAGGGATAGGGGCTAATGTAGCGCCTTGACAATTCAAAGAGGGTTTACTAGTAGGTTTCGTGGTATACTAGCATAGAATTTGGGGTCCATCGTAGGGATCCTTTTATATGGGTGCCGTACTATAGAACCTCAAACCGGACCCTTATTTAGAGAACTACCCATTAAGGTGTTAACCGCCAAACTCGAACCCTAAACACGGTATGCGAGGACGGACCGACCGGACCGGCCTGGGCTACTACGTTAGGTTTGTTGGTTTGTTTCGAACCTGTTTGCATCCCAGCGAGAGAGAGAGAGATCTATATATGTATATATATATATATAGAGACGGCGACGATTTGGAAAAGCCTTGTGGATGATCCGAAGCTAAACCCTCAAGTCAAGACCGAAGCCCTACAATCCCCCAAACAAACCCTGAACCACAAAACCACCAACAAAGGAAACATCTCCAAAGCCCCCCTAAACCCTCAAACCTAAACCCTAAACCCTTAACCCTAAAACCCTAAACCCTAAACCCTTAACCCTAAACCCTAAACCCTCAACCCTAAACCCTAAACCCTTAACCCTAAACCCTTAACCCTGAACCCTTAACCCTGA